ATCATCCATGGCCAGAATGAATATATGTTTGTACCAACGTGGCTGTAATTACAGTATTCTATACGTATTGCATACAACCTATATATTATTTTTGTACCCCTGGCACTGCTGTTGTTCAGAGTCTGTTGATGCTTCAGCTAGAAAACTTGTTTTTTTCCAGAGATTTCTAACTTCCCATAAAAGTCTATTCTGGGCTGAAACTCTCTCTGCCAAGTCTTAGGCCAAGATTGAAATTTCTTTCATGAAATTTTATTTTAAGCCAGTTTGAATGTTGTTATAGAAGGTGGATAAAGGGCACGGAGTAAAATCTGTGTCTTGCGTGCTATGAGCAATTCTGACTCCTAAAGAACTTGCATTTTGCATAACCATTTGTAGAGGTGAGCCATGCTGCCGTTCTCAACAGGGTTTTGACCCCTTTTCTTTAGACACAGGTGTAAGTTGCCGCTGGTGTTGGCCTGTACTTGATAACCGTGTCCTGCTGCTGAATACTGGGGGAGTTTTTGGTGGCAAAGAGCTTGTGGCTTTGGCACCCGTCTCAGCTGGGTGCAGCTGCAGACTTTGAGCAGTAAATGCCGAGGGGAAGTTGGGTTCTGCACAGTTTATTTTAGTCTCCTTCTAGCTCACAGAAAGAGGCAGGCCTCTAAATCAGGTGCTCTGAATTACTGCTGAAGGGCTTCCCTGGCAGAGAATCCGGGCTCTAGCATTAGATGATGCAAGTACATCATCCTTGTGCTTATATGCAGGTTTATTGATGCAAACACATCATTTCCAGTAAATATGGAGTATATCTCCTCTTTAAAGCCTGTTCTGTCTTCCTGTAAGCCATTTTCTTTGCTCTGGAGGGTGGAATAACTGCTTACAGACAAAGCTACCTGATTTCTGGCAACGAGTTTTTAACTGTCGGTGGCAACTTGTCTCATTAATTGAGCTTTAAAAAAATTCTGGACAACCTGCTTTTTGAACAGCTTTATTTTGTTTTGATCTGGGTGAAACCTCAGCAGGTGAAGCAAGCTGAGAGGCTGCAGCAGCTCCTGCTCGGCCCGTGCTACACGGTGGCACCCCGATGCCCCTAATGATGGGCCGTGCCTCACAGCTGAGAAAACTCACCATAATGAAAAAAGGCCCAAGCACGTTACTGAGGTTTTGTTCTGCTCTGCTGAAGTGCTGGGCGCTCGGGAAATGCTGTCTCCAAATAGAAGCAGGACACAGTGGGAAACTCGGGGGTTTTTTTCACCTGTAATTTGGTTCTGCCCTGCACAGTCTCTAATAACGATCCCTTGAAGGAAGCAAAGAGCAGTTCTTCAGCGCAGACCCTCAGCAGCGAGAAAGCAGGCTGCTGGCATGAGGCAGAAAACCTGGCACTTGCCTTGAAAAGAATCATGACCTCAGAGGATTTGCAGCCACCGGTTTGGATGCAGGAGAAGCCCCGTGTCGGGTGAGCACATCTGTGCCCTCTGACTACGTGCTGAGAACATCTATGATTTACAGTATAAATGCGTTTTGTTTTTTTTTTTAAATTTCTGCTTTCTGGAAAGCAAAAGTGCTCTTAGATGCAGAAGGAAGAGCGTGCCAAGGACTTGTAGCATAAGTAGCCCTTGGGTTGTGGTCCCTCAGTCTCCCCTGCGACGTGCCCAAGGGCAGGAAAGTGTCTGCAGCAGAGAAAAGGCACAGCCAGTGCCTGAGCAAGCTGTTTGCATGAGGAAAAGGGATCGAAACAGCAACAAGAAATGGGCCAGAAGTGGGACTCGAGTCGGTTAATAAGCACTTGGTAAACCTAAAGGAAAATGTAAAATAATTTGGGTTTATCTGTATTTGAATCCGAGTAATTTGCGTGGTGTGCCTCTCATTCTTAAAGGACTCTGCAAAGCTTTGATGAAAAGAGAACCAGTGAAAGAGCAGCTGCTTACCTGAAGCTTCTGCAGTGCTGGACAAAATCATTTCAACATTCCTGGGCATTTAGCAAACTCTCTGCTAATGGGAAGAGCCGTCAGAGCAGGCGAACTCTTACCAGATAAAAGCCATAGGGGACAGAAGGGCCACATCCACCAAACTGAAATTCAAGAATCATGTCCCAGCTTTGGCCATTTATTTGCTGATGTGATAGTGAACTGGTTCTTCCCTCTCACCCCAGCACAAGAAAGGACAGACAGGACCTCCCATATTTGCAATGGAGCCTGCTCTGACGTAGGCAGCTCCCTCTTGCTCTGTTCCACGTCCAGGTGTAGCAGGTTTTGCACAGTCCTTTCACCGTCAGGATGAGGATGAGGGCTGCGACCAAACAATTTGGAAATGGTCCTTTGTGATTTTAATGCTTACTTTTTTTTTTTTTTTTTTTTTTTTTTTTTTTT